CTCGCGAGGTGGGGTTTGATGCAGCTCAGCACCCCCGGGACCCCCGGGGGGAGAAAGATCAGAAGAAGACTGCAGGATAGGTTGAACAGGAACAATGGGCTACTTGATCGCCCTTCAATCCCCCTCGGATTGTTGCACGTCGTCATCAGGGATCACAACAACTGCCTCTGGCGTACATGAGATCGAGTTCAATAAACGAGTAAAGTTGCGCCTCAATTGAACTCGCCTCCCGATGTTAAAAACATCGGTGGAGGTCTCCCCCATGGCCAAGACGACATTCCTCTTAGAGATGGCCCGCCGAACGTCAGAAATGATTCCATCTTTGCTGTCCTCGACTACCTCCATGTGGCCAAAGCTTGCAACAGAAGATGGAGCAACCGTCGAGATAGGCTAGGCAGCCAAGGGTGGTTCCCCGACCGTCGCTAAAGATCTTTCCACAACCAGAAACACTGAAGGAGCAGTCCCGGCGAGCCGATCGGCCTGACAAGGCGGAGGAAGCGTTTTAACTAGATCAGTTTCCCGGTGCCCCAACTTCCCCCGATACCGCTTCCGCAGGACCTCGTCCATCGAAATAGGAGATTCAGCGTCTGCAAAAGCAAAAGCAAGTCAAGACCAAAATTGCCAAACATGAAACCTTTCACTGCTCTTTCCAGCAAACAAAAGGGGGAGGGGGAGGGAGAAGGAAAAATAGTAGAACCACTCACCATCAGTTACAGTGTAAAAGATGGGCATCTTCCCTCGGCACCTCCAAGAAGGGCTCATACCAACACCAGCGAGCAAAACCTCTGAATATTCCTCAGGCACAACCTGAATAGTCTTCAGAAGATCAACAATAGCTTGGTTGTGAGGATACAACTTAGGAGTAACATCAGCAAAGTTGTTCGCCCGATATCGCCCACTGTCGACCCGATCTTGGTTGACCCACAACCACTTGTCTTGCCAGTTCTTGGGGGTCTTGCCATCGGGAACCAATGTATGCCCCCCTCGCTGGATAGAGAAAGTATACTTTTCGCCTGTAGCATAGAACCTGAAGAAGTACTTAAAGACAAAGTAGTCGGGAAGTACCCCATTGGCTCGACAAATCATCTCAAACACCACCACTTTATTGATAGCGTTTGGAGTGAGCATTCAGACGCTAAATCCGTTTTTATGCAGAAGCTCCTCTTGAAAATCAATGAGTGGGAGGCGCATACAAGCGTTGAGGGTTTTCAGATAAACACGCACCTTGCACGGGGGAGGAGATAAGATCATCGAATTAGGCAATGGGAACTCAACCCCGTCAGCCGAAGAAAGGCCGTAGGCATCACTAAGGAGCTTGAATTCAGCTTCAGATGGAATGGTACCAGATTGAGTAGCCATGGAACCAAGAGAAAAACCCTAGAAGAAGAAGTAAGAAGAAATGAGAAAGAAATGGCATGAATAAGGAACGCCGTTGACTTTATAAAGGATAAGGAAAGGCGGGATATTCAAAATCCCTGACGTGATGATGTAACCGACTGCCATAATGGGCAGTCACGTCGCCGTAAAAATCGAAGCGACGATTGAACCAGAGCTCGCCGCGTGTACCGAGCAGTTAAGTCCAGAACGTCATAGCTAGTCTAGCAACGCTCTGGACTAGGGGACTTGATGACGTGCCCTTAGCGCACACGAAGAAGCCGCGCCCGGACGCGTCAGAGAATGCCCCAGGGCATGCCGCGCCCGGCAAGTTAAGCCCGACGGAACCTAGCGCCCGTCAGCGCCCCTAAGAGCAGGGCACTCACGGAGAAAGGCTTGACCCCGCCAGGGGTGCCTTCCACTCCGGGACAAATGTAACGGTCTCAAGCGACAAGGCAGATACTCAAAGCATTACTGCCTGAACCAATCGTTGGCTCTGACAGATTAATGAGCACGATCACCCAATCAGCGTCCCCGATCCTGTCGGGTCTGACGCCCTTGTCCTGTACGGACTAGCAGAAGGATTCAATATAAAAGGTCACCCCAGGTACCTTGAGAAGTAAGTCGTTCTCTCCCAGTTTACTCACAATACAATCTCAAGTCTATCCACTGACTTGACCGTCAGGGCGTTTTCCTGGGAGCCTCTTCCCAGAGAACGGATGACGATCCTTTCTCGTTCTGACCTCGCGGGTTCATCAGAATTATAGAAGGCGTAGAGCACCATAGTCGTGGAACCTGGTCACAACATATATATATATATATATATATATATATATATATATAGATATATATATATATATATATATATATATATATATATATATATATATATATTCTTAACAATTTATTAAAATATATATTTTAACAAAAACGACAATTTCAAAATTAGGATGTATTTAAATATCTATAATCAAACATAGTTATGAATTAGATTTATTAAGTATTTACATATTAAATATAAACAAATAAGTTTTATTAAAAATATATGAAATTGTTGTTGATGAGGGGATGGATCCCATGTAATTACATGAATATTGATATTTCATTCATGTGAATAAATATTGATATTTCATTCAAGTGAATAGTTATTCCAAGGTAACAAATTTGAAAGATAACTAGCAGGAATCGGTGGCGCCCTTGGCGCTGGATTGGATGAGTATTGGTTAAATGTTGATAAAAACTGGGAAGGGGTTGTATATACGTTCATTTTCGGTATGCAGTCTACATACACAGTATAACTCAAAAGATGCAGGAAAACTACACTACAAAACTGTACATTCTTTGGTTTATATTTGTTGGAGTTGCTTTTACTTTTGTGTTTTCTTTTACTTTTTTTTCATGAAGTTAGATGTTATAAGTGGTTAAGTGTGGCTGTATGTTGTAGGTTACATACATAATTGTATACGTTAGCTTTTGTGTTTCATTTATTGTTACTTTGGTGTGGTATTAGTAGTTATTGCTATAAACTATAGCGGACTAAGTAAAGGACAATATGACTGATATTGTATTTATTTGTATATTGATATTGGACATGGTTTCCCTGGGAAAAAAATAAGAACAACGCAAATATAACGTCGACATTTACTTGTCGGTAGCATCATTCATTATATGTTTATACTTGCAAACCTTTTATGGATTGATCCAACCATAAAAGAGATGTTGTCCTCCATGGATTGATCTTCGACTCAGGCGTCTTGAAGGATAGTCTTGAGTATTTTCGAAGTGGGGCTGTCAGCTTCTATGGTGATGGTGATATGAGAGCTTTCTTCCATGGTAAATCCTTCTTGTGGTCTCGTTTGAGTTGCTTCCATAAGATCTCCGATTTGTCGGAGGTAGGCAATGAGAGCGACACAATAGAAAGAAAAGACAAAAGACTGAGGAAAAAGAAAAACCCAATAGAGAGCATCATAACTTAAGAGAAGAAGAACCACGTAACAGGTAAAACATCCAAAAAAAATGGAAGAATACAAACCTGGAGAAGAAGGCGCGAAAGAAAGGAGAAAGAAGAATTTGGAAAAAGAAAAACCCAACAGAGAGCATCATAACTTAAGAGAAGAAGAACCACGTAACAGGTAAAACATCCAAAAAAAATGGAAGAATACAAACCTGGAGAAGAAGGCGCGAAAGAAAGGAGAAAGAAGAATTTGGAAGAAAGAGGAAGGTCTGACCTCGAAGTGGACATTGGCTTAATAGCCGACACGCGTGAATTAAGGGAATATTTTGTATTATTTTAATGGAGGAATATACCCCAGTTATGTGGAAAAAGACGTTAAGGGGTAGAATGAAAAATTCACCCAAAACCACGGCAATTTAGTGAAATTGGAATTAAACGGTGGCCAAATCGAAAACCATAAAAATTTACTGTTCACCAACTGGATGAGAATTAATATGTATATAATATAATGGTCTTGTTTTCAATTTTATTTAACAAAAAATAATCATTATAAATCTTCATCGGTCGGTTTTTTATGGCTAATTTGATTTGACATATTAAATCTTCATTAATTTTATTCAACAAAAACAAAACTAGTGATTATATAAATATTCTTCTTTAGTTATTGATATTTTTGTTTTTCTTTAACTAAGTTACCTATTCATCTTTATGAAGAAGATAATAAAATTAAGGGTAACAATTGATGACACGACACGAAATGAAATTGAGACTAAATTGAATTTCGAATTCGTGTTGGTGTCATGTTTGTGTCAAGTTTAAAAAACATGATGTCGTTTTGTGTTGTGTTCGTATTCAAACATACGGACTGAAGGTTGCGGACCGAGTCCAAGCTTCTGACCCAATTAGAAGACTTTTCAAACAGGCCCTAAGTTTTAAAGGTTAAATCCTAATGGTTAATCATATTGACTTAAAAAATTACCACTCCAACAATAAAAAAGAAAACACTTTATTAGTTGATTTTATGTTATTGATCTCTCAAAAAACTTACCATTGGAGATGTGTTATAACATTGCCTAGAGACAAAATCTGCAACAACAATAACAAACTATATTGGCAAATCATCTGAGCTGTTTCTACTTTCTATAACTTTGAACATGCGATACAGCAATAGTACTATTCTTGTAACTTGCTCTACTAAGTTAGGGCAAATTAAAACACTAGTCCCTATGCTTTTTCACATAATTACAAGTTCAGTTTAATTTTTGAAACCGTTCAATATTGTTCTTAGGTTTGCATTTTCTTTCAAAGATGTTCCTTGTTTTTTACTCCACATTGTAAGTTTGGTCTAAATTTTGAAAGCATTTTCTTTCAAAGATGTTCCTTGTTTTTTACTCCACATTGTAAGTATGGTCTAAATTTTGAAATCATTTTATATGGATTAGGGACCAGATCTGTAACAAAATGCAAACCTATGGACGATATGGGGATAATCTAAAAATTCTGACTGAAATTGTGATCTTTATCTTTGAATTTTTACAAAGCAAAAAAACAAATTTGTAATTTATGCTTCACATTGATGAATACTTATGCCATAAGTGTTGACAACCCCAAACTTTTCACATTGCCCTTTTTGTATTAATATCAAATAAAAACAATAACTCTACATTTTTCATTCTCGTTCAACAATAAACAATAAAAAACAAAATAACACCACATAAACAATAACCGTAGCATAGGGGCAAAATTGTAATTCACTCTTTTAATTTACAGAATTATAAGGATGCTGCTATACGTACCCCTCAATCACATAAATTTTCAAATCATGAAGGATACACACACTATTTCACTCATAAGAGGATACACGAAGCAATTTGGGGTACATATAGAATTACCCAATTATAATCGTTTTTCGTATTTAACATGTACAAATAGGTTTGAGTGGAATTTATTATTGTAAGAGTTGAACAGCTGCAATGGCAGGGATCTTTTCGCGTAATTTCTGGGTGACAGCTACTCTGACAGTCATCACACTTGCTGCGGGCCCCGTTAACCGTACTTTTACTATCGGCTCTTCTATTGACACAAACTCCACTGATCCACCTGCTGCCCCAACAAGATATGGTCGTATTTCTTCCAGAACCTACAATTATTATTATTATAGTAGAGTTAAATGCAAGAAATAACACTCTACTTTCAATAATTTGTTTATTATTATTATAGCATTCTACTTTCATTTCTTCGCCTTACATAAATAAATGCTTGTAATAAAAATAATTGAAAATAGGATGCTATAATACATAAATAAATGAAAGTATGTTGCTATTTTTTGCATTTAACCGGTGCATTGAATCCTACTTTTTAATTTCTTTCTATTTTGAAAACGTACCTTCTCTATATTTTCTTCATTAAGGTCAAGGCCAGTTTCTTCATCTGGTATGGGTTCAACAGCAACAATTTCAGGAATCTTCTCCATCAAACGTCTTTCAATGCCCAATTTCATTGTGGTTACAGAGCTTGGACATGAACCACAAGCTCCTTGTAGCTTTAGGCGTACAATTTTTCCATCAATTTCATGTAACGCCACATTTCCACCATCTGCAATCAGATAAGGCCGAATTTCATCTAGAACACTCTCAATGTTTTCTGCAGTAAGAGCCAATTCCACAACCGATTCTGGAGTACTTGCAACAGCCTTTATTATAACTGTGAAAAATGGTTTTTTTCAAATTGGTCAAAATATGTATAATGGTTTAATCACTACACAGTACACACTAACACAAGGCTTTGTTGTTTATCAAACAATGGAGCCTGGATGGGAGTAGCAATAGGGAATCTTTGCGAAGTTATATTGGCTAAAAGCCTATAAGGGATTGTTCAATCTATATTGTAGGCATGAAATACATGAGCTCAGTAAATTTGGAAACTGAAATTCCTTATATCTGAATTCTAATAGCATAAAGTTCAACCACTAGTTTTTAAGCGGATGAGATCAGGTTGCAAACTAGAACACGTAAAACGAGTTACCTTTCCGGCGTGACCCCTGTGAAACTCGAATTTTAGATGAGAATGAACCGCCCCAAGCAAGAGAGATTCGAGTGCCCAAGAAACCAGAAGATATCTAGATGAAGAATCCAGTAAGTTATTACGATAATAAAAAGATAAAAACACAACCACAAATACAAACATACAGGTCGATGGATTACGAAACCTTAGGGAATGGATTGATCGTGGAATATGAAGTTGAAGATGGGAAAGATGATGAGGAATCTGGGGTTTGTTGCGGTCTAGTGACGGAGGAATAAGATGATGGACTCAAAATCACAGCAGCAGTTTGCATCTTCACGATTCTTCGACGAATTTAGCACAACGAAAATCCGTCGGTTTCCTCGCCGGAAAATACTTGTTGTACGCACGAAGGAATTTGTGTTAGAGCCGTTTGTCCCGAGGTTGAGAGTTGAGACGCGTTATTCTTGGAACACCATGATTTTGTACAACGATCTGAAATATATAAAAATTAAAAAAAAAAAAAAAAAACTAAATTAAAAACTATTAAAATAGCTCTAAATCTGTATTACAGATGAAAATTTATTTTTAACTCGAGTTTTTTTAAAAGTTAACACCTATATATTACACTCATATTGTGTGGCCTTTATGCGAGATGCTTTCCCGTTGGAGTTCCGGTTATTTCTTCGATTGAAGAAGATTCTAATATGTTCTTCTGACGAAAGTTTAAAGTTCCAGATGATATTTGTGAGAGTTATTGCGCTGGTGACCTCTCAAACAACAGAAAGAGAGATAACTAGAGAGAACTCAATAACAAGATGAAAATTTCCGTAAAGAGAAAAAAGAGATCGAAACGGGAATTTAAGATATCCGGTGAGTATTTAAGATAACGATGAGATCTTTGATGCTCCGTAGAGAAGACCCGTTGATGTTGCGTTATACTTAGTGTTTTACTGTTCGTCTCATTTTCCGCAGAAATAACAACCAACTTTGCATTGTACATATTCCTAGTTCATTTCATACACTTTCCGGAATTGTTTGAAGCTTTAGATGGACAATGAAGGAGAAAAAGGAGCCTTAGCTGGTCTTCGTTTCTATACAGTATGTCTCAATGAGTTTTGGAAAACTACGATGGAATACCAATGCCTGTAAGGTACATCTTAAATTATTGTTTATTCATTTGAGGTGTATAGTTAGTATACGACTACATATAAAAGATGATGTTGATGAATCATTAACGATGGATAAATCCACGTAAGGCAACAATAAATGACATGTAGCTGAAATTTTTCTTTAATTTTTTTTGACCGGTTACATTTGGAAATCTGCCGATATCAAAAGGTATAAGAGTAAAGTGTTGGTTCCTATACTTTGTTTGTTCAGTCTAACTTTTAAAAATTTAACGAGATGCATTCCTGTGCTATGAAGAAATTGCATTGCATATCGTCAGTCCATTTAAAAAGACTATTTTACATTTATTTTTATGTTTTTGTTATATATATATATATATATATATATATATATATATATATATATATATATATATATATATGTTTTAATTTTTTAATATTTTGATGATTATATTTTATTTTATTTATTTGTATTTTTTATGATTTATATTTTTATTTGAAATTTTATTAGAATATATTTTTAATGTTTTTATATTTTATTAGTTTATATTTTTTGACATTTTTTTTGAATAAATTTTCTAGTTTTTTTTATGAATATATTTTTTAATGTTTTTTTTTTGATGTTTTGTTTTTTTTTTTATATTTTTGTAAACTTTTTATAAATATTTTTTGTATGAAAATTATAAAAAAGTGTGTTAAATGTGAATATGATTAACACGTATTAGGTATAAAATTGTTTATTTTAATAAGGTTATTATATAGGCTAACCAGAATTCGAAACGATTGTCAACGGCTTGATGTTCAATTTTTTTTAGTTTTAGAAAATTTTTAATATTTTGTTCCGAATGACAAATGTTAATCGGAATTCCTATAACTAAAACATATGTGTCAATGTTTTCGAGTTCATTTTTTTTTATTTTTTAATTTTTGTTCATTTTCAAATTATATGGTTTCCAATTAGCCATTATATAACGTGAAACCCGTTTTTGAATTTAGGTTAGCTTATATGTTAATCCTATTAAAAAAAAATAACTTTATACCTAATATGTGTTAATAATATTCACATTTAACGAAGGAAATGAACAACATACAATAATCCCCTCATTTTTCCACGTCATCATTTCTTCTTTTTTTCGATTTTTTTTATTTTTTCAATTTATTTAATTTAGATTTATTTATTTTTTATTTTTTTATTCACATTATATTATTTAAAAAAACGAAACATGCAATTTAATTAAATTTTAAATTAACCATAACATTTAAAAACTAAAAATAACATTACAAAAAAACATTGAACGCAAAAAAATCATAGTCCTAAAAACATAAAAACGATACGCTAGTCATTCAAATATTTCTTTTCGATCATCTCCTTCATCTTTCGGAGCACCTGCACTTGTCGTGGTCTCATATTTTCTTCGCTAATCCTCTGTTTGCTTACGAAGAAACTCCAAGTGCTCACGTTGCACATCAACATTTTTTGTGTGATTAGATTGTGTTGGTCGAACTTTGCTTTCATTTCCGCCAACTCTTGTGCTCTTCTCTCGACTTCGTCTGCGTGACGTTGAGCACGATTTGTTTGTCGCGCCCGATCGGTTGGCATAGGGGGGGGGGAGATCTCTTCGATGTCGTCGGGGATGTCATTTGTGTCGGCATTGAGGTCGATGTTTGTTCGTGCGTCGGAAACGTCAAACGAACTAGAATTGCAAGACCTATTTGATTGTGCCCCCGACGATGTTAGCGACTTAATCCATTTTGGATCTTGTCTGGCAATCTCTCATATTTTTTCAAACTCGAAAGTGTGCCCCATTTCATCTTGATATTGTTCCCTCGCAGCTTTGTACACATCAAAATCATTCTTACCACTTTGCTTTTGTGATTCTAGTCTCATGAAAATCCCGTTAAACTTGGTGCACCGACGATTGATCGGAGTCAACTTGCTACTAAGCATATCGATATTGTGATATGACTGTTTCTTCATAATCGTGTGGAATTTTCTGAGCACGACTTCCCAAAACCCTACTCTTCGCATACCATTTCCTACGGTTGGATTCTTTGAAGTCTCACACCACACCACTGCCAATACGTACTCCTCCTCCTCCAGTGTCCACCATAATGGAGGTTCTTCTTTATTTTCCGCGACTGCGCCTTCCTTTTACTTTTCCCTTTTGCCTCTCCCTTTCCGACTGCCTCTCGTTTGCGTTTCAGGAACAATTTCTTGCGTTGGTTGTGTGGTTGCTTGTAGCATGGAAGCGAAAGTACTGAAAAGGTTTTGTTGAAGATTTGGGTTTTGTTGCATGTAAGGGGATGTAGGAAACTGCATTGGGGTGAGTTTGGATTAAAAAAGTTTGCTTGAAACGGTATTTGTGGTGAGTTTGTGTTGAGTAGATTCATATAACTCCCGTAATGTGCGAACCTCATTGGAGCAAATGTGTTTGTTTTTGGAGGAGGGGTGTTCGGGTTTTGCTCCATATTTGATTGAATGAAAAGGTGGCTGATTTTTGTGAATATAGTTAGTTGAATAAAATGAGAGAAAGAGAGAAAAAAAATTGGGTAAATATGTGTGTATTTATATGGAAAAAGTAAATAAGTAATTTTTTATTGCTTTTTGACCATTCCAACCGGCCATATGAACGTTAAATTCGAAAAAATAGGTGTTGCCTCTCGTTATCGTCACAATCGGAGATCACATAGCATGGCTTAACGGCATAGTTGGGGCGGTGTTCCAGTGTTACAACGGCGTTGAGCGCCTTCCACGTGACACGTCTCAAGTTGCTAGACATGTCTTGGGAATTCCAATCTATACTTTTGCATCAAAATGCGCTTTTAGTGGAGGAGGTAGGGTGATTGGTCCCTTTAGAACTACCCTAACTACTAAGATAGTCTAAGCTCTACTTTACACGCAACATTGGATAAGCATTACACCGATAGACATTACGTTTTAAAATATGCCTACCAATATGTTAGAGGAATTGCAAGAAAAAATCAATGCTTAAAAACCGGTTCAAGCCGGTCGGTTGAACCGGTTGGATCAGGAACCGGAGAAAGGAGTTGTATTTTCAAAAAAAGCAATTAAACCAGTTAGATTGAATAAAAACTCATGGAAATAAATCATTTTGCATAACTAACTTTGATAACCGTTTCACATCTATTTAGATTTCTCTTAAATTGAATAAAAACAAATGGTAAATGTCATGAAACTTTTTCATGTGTGTATTCATCTAAAACTATATTTTGTTTCAGTATTATACTTTATTTTTTCTTTTTGGTGTATGTGGATTGATGTAAAACGTATGGTTATGTATTTTTTAACGTATTTGGTGTGATCTGCAACTTGTTTTTATATGTATTTTTAATGTTTGAATTTATTTTTCTGTGTTATTTTATTGACTGGACTTGTGTGTCTACATGAAAATAAGAAGAAAAAATTGATAATTCTAGAAAACCGGTTGAACCCACGGTCAAACCGTTAAACTGTAACAGCCCAGAAACAGTGATAAAAAATTTTAATTTTAAAAAATCAATAGTTTCCAACATCAAACTATTTCAAAACATCCATAATGTACAATATCAAAATCATCAGAGTAATAATATCCCAAAAGTGCAGAAATCATGAGGGGAGGATGTTGTGCCATCATGCCAGACCCTTCCCTTTTGAACAGGAAGTACCTGAAACCACAAACATAAACTGTAAGCATAAATCTTAGTGAGTTCCCCAAAGTACCACATAACAATCATACAATTGGGCTTAACCCTTGTAACACCCCGACTCTCAGGTACAAACTTTCAGTATTATATTTCCATTAAAAAGGTTGACTCGACGAGTTGGATGCCCCGACTCGTCGAGTAGGAAGGTTTTGGTCGCGGGTCTTAAGTGACCGACTCGGCGAGTCGGAGGACAGACTCGGCGAGTTGGAGCTGGAACGAGAAACCCTAATCCTTGGGCTTTTGCACCCTATTTAACGGATCTTTTGCCCCCCTTAGCCTCCCCTTATAGCCCTTTGTGAGTCCAGAAACCCTAAATCGCCGTTTTCCTCTCTTTTTGTGTGATATTAAGCCTTGTGGTGAATTGTGGAAGGAAGATCTTGAAGTGCTCAAGCTTGGAACAAGAGGAAGGATGTAGATCCGAGTTCTTCTTCATCTTAGCACCGTTTTTGAGGTAACAAATTGTTACCTTGACCTTCTTCTACCTAGATTTATGCATGTATGAAATTAGGCCATATGTTATTTTGGGTATTAGCCATGATTTGAAGTTGCAACTTCAGATCTAGGCTTATATGGGTCTATAAGATCATAAAGTTTCAGCCTTTAGCATGATAGTGCGTTTCCCTTGCCTATAATCTCT